ATGCATGTCAAATCAATCTTTGAAATATATTAGGAGTTCTGTCCTATTCCTATTTTATGGATCATAGTTACATGGTATGTGACTTGTTTGTGTAACATGCATTGCCTGAGGTGGTAGTGTCAATAAAGAATTTCCAATGAAGTTCTTACCTCATTGACAATCATTTAGCCTGTGAGGTTGAATATAGCACTCTGATGGTAGTAAATACAGCAGGTATGCAGTAAATTGAGTAAATATATAACGAAACTAAACATGGCTTACCTGAGTAGGTTTGAATGTCAGTCATATGACAAGAAATAACAACTTGATCATAAACAGCTACTGTTTATTAATCATTATCAACTCCATGACTCTGTGTTCCAATGCTTTGATTATCCAATATCCTGTTTATCATCTTGGATTATGACTTTATCAACTGATATAGCTGTATATGGCAATTACTGTGCAATAATTAAGTATTCATATATACAGTTGATGGCAAACCAATGGTAATTTAGTGCAGAACAAACCCACCATTGGTTTGCATTGGTTTTCCATCAATATTTGTCTTTAGCATCAACATGTTGATGGGGGAGTTGTCACTGGACACACTGGACGACTCAAGGTTGAGTACCAAATGGCACCCTATTCCCTAGTGCACTACTTTTGTCCAGAGTCCTATGGGCCCTGGTCAAAAGTAGTGCACTATAAAGGGAACAGGGTGCAATGTGGGATGCAGCCTGTCAGGACCCCCTGGGAAGAGTTGATATCAGTCCAATCCAGCCACTAGGCTCTGACTAAAGGAACCATACTGTGTTTGGTATGGAGAGGAGGGTCAGCCAGTTGGAATCTTTCCAGGGTTGCTCTCTTTACATAAGGTGCTATTTCGATGGGGAACATTCTGTGCACGTACTGATGGTGCACGTACTGTATGTACATTCATGTGACAGCTAGGTGCAGAATGCTAAATGCGGATCCATGTCGTGCATGCACATGCTTGTCAATTTCATCATAGGGGACCAATAAGAGGATTCTGTGTGACAGTGTCACAGCGACATCACAGAATGCACACTGATGGGATGGAGTGGAGAAAGGGAGAGAAAAGCTTAATCCCAAATCATCCTCCAGCTCCTGCACTCCTAGATCTAAAGGTGAAGGTGTA